GCATGCCAACGCATGCCAATGCATCCCAACGCATTCCAACGCATGCCAGCGCGTGCCAGTGCATGCTGACGCATGCCAATGCATTCCGGCGCATGCCAATGCATGCCAAGGCTTGCCTTTGCATGCCAACGCGTGCCAAACATGCAGTCCAACGCATTCCAATGCATGCCAACGCATGCCAAGGTGAGGGTAGAGCGTGCGGGTACAGGAGTTGACTACCCGGGGTATGGGTAGCACATGGGGAGGGCTGTCTTGCTAGGGGGTAGCATTTGGAGCGGGGGGAGTCCCAAGATCTTGCCTACCTAGTGCGGCGTGCGACCAGAACTCCAGCCGTATGTATTTGAGTCGGGCCAGCCGGAACAACGGACCACAGGCTAGATGGGTACTTATGCGAAACATAGCCGTAGTCGCAGTCTTGGCAGAGTTCCACCGCGGACGGCGCTGGTCTTTCCTGCCTAGTGCTGAGTTCCCAGGCTTCTCTTGTTGTGTTTTGGTTTCAGGATCTGCGAAACTTTCAAGAATGTATTTTTTTTGCATCTCATGATATAATTGAGTTGAAGATCGCCATATTTATTTAGTTTATTATCGTGCAGGTTATGGACCGATTCATTACCCAACGAATAAAGAATGGGAAGCCCGTAGATTAATGGAACAATCCCGTGCTTGCTACCAAAACTCCAGCCTTATTTGTTGAGTCGGGCCAGCCGGAACAACGGACCGCAGACTTGATGGGTATGCGAAGCACAGCCGTAACCCACAGTCCTGGCAGAGTTCCAGTGCGATCGGCGCCAGCATATACAGCCGCAGCGCATCTGATGCAACCTGTCGTGATATGAATGGGCCCCTTCGTCCCCTACAAGTAGGTAGAACACGCGGACTGAGAATACCCAACCTCACTCTACCCCTTTGGCGTGGCTGAATGTCATTCGCCCCAGTTCCCGTACGGAGGCCAATCCTTCTGTAGCCCCATCCGGCGTGGCTGGGGGATGGAATTCGCCCCAGCCCACGCCCGAACCCAATCTGACAACCCCTTTGGCGTGGTTGGGGAATGGAATTCGCCCCAGCCCACGCAGGATAACACCCCAACTCTAACGTCGTCTGGCGTGGCTGGGGAATGGGATTCGCCCCAGTCCACGCTTGGACACAACCCTTCCCTATTCCCTTGGCGTGGCTGGGGAATGGCATTCGCCCCAGCCCACGCTCGGGTTCCAATCTTACTGTGCACCCTTCTGGCTTTGTTGGCCACCTATTCCAAGAGCCTTACCTCTCAGTTCGGCGACACGCTGGTGGCAATGCTAATGATGTAAGGTGGGGAAGAGAAGAAGGAGGAGGAGCGGGCCAGAAGCGGCCAAGCAAGGACGGGGGGAGGAGGAGGAGGGAGGACGAAAAACCAGTCCTGTACATGCGGCTCGCTACCAGAACTCCAGCCGTGTTTGTTGAGGCGGACCGGCCGAAACAACGGACTGCAGGCTAGATTGGTTTGCGAAGCATAGCCGTAGCCCACACTCCTGGCCGAGTGCCAGTGCGGAAGGCGCGAACCCCTAGCATACTACCCGAGATCTTGCCTACATGCGTGCCGCGTGCGACCATAACTCCAGCCGTGGTTGTTGAGTCGGGCCAGCCGAAACAACGTACCGCAGTTTTGGCAGAGTTCCAGTGCGAACGGCGCCAGCCTATCCAGACGCAGTGCGGCTAATGCAAAGACGTTTGCCGGGTTGTTGATTTGGGCTGGCCAAAAATAGACGGCCAGCGCGCTAGTTGGGTATGCGATACAGAGCCTTAGCGGACGGGCAGTATGATGAACAAATGGTACGACCAGAAGCTGACCGGCCTGCTGGCTACCTACTCCAAGCGGTTTGCCCCTCCATTCGGGGACCGCGATGGAAGCAATGCTTACCAAATGAAATGGGTCAGAGAGGAATTGGAGCGGGTGAGACACGGGGGCGGGCGAGAGAACTGGGAGGGACAGGGGGATACGGGAGCTGCCTGGGTGAGGGACAGCACGTGTAAGGAACGAAGGGTGGAACATGCCCCACGATCCGTGCATGGAGAGGGGAGCACTTGCTACGGGCCTGGGGAACTCTAGCTACCCACTGGCCTGTGTCGCCCTGGTGGCGAAACCCCAGTGAGCTCAAGGGAGGTGCTCGTCGGAGACTCCTTGTCCCCTTACAGGCCGCCCCGTGCGTCCTCCCCGAATACTCAGCCTGGGGCCGTGGGCACCTGTGGCACGGGGAGGAAGGAGCAGGGAGCAGGGACGAGGGAGGACGGAGGAGGGCCCCCGTCGCCTCGGCCGGATGCTCCGCGGAGTTCTGGCCAGAGCGCACCCCGAGACCCTGAGGCCTTGGCGCTGCAACTCTTCATCCTGGACACCCTCGCGTCCCGAAACAAGCACGACGGGAATTTGCTACTCTTGTCTTCCAGGGGGCCTTACCGGGCCTCGGCACCGTCCAACAACGTCTCAGGATGAAAAACCGGCCCCAGGGAAGGAAGGGGTCGAGACCTGGGGGGGGCGACGTAGCGAAAAGATCCCGACGTATGGGATCTGGGCCCGAGACCCTGAGGTTCTGGCGTTGCAGCTCTTCATGGCGGGCGTCTCCGCCAGGCGCTGGGCCCCGGGGCCCTCACAGCTCGATCGGGCTCGAAGAGTGGCGCAGAAGGAAAGAGTCCCGGGCCCTTGTCGTGATTTTTTGTGCGGTGCTGCTTTTTGTGGTCTGCAGCGTCAGGGCTGGAGGAACACACACTCAACCCGCAGAGCAAGGACGGGCAACCCCCCCAAGGGTACCCTTGCATCCTTGCCTCCTCGGCCCATCCTTGGCGACCTTCGCCGGCCAATCTCGTTCGACAAGCGTTCTCATGGCCTTCCAAGGCCCTTGCATCCTTACCGCACATCCTTATGATACGGGTTGAGTGTACACCGACACCGCCACCCACTTCTCGTCGCCACGGCTGGCTTCGTCTGAACGCCTTGTCAGGGCGCACCCCGAGAGGAGTCTGGGGAGTACAGCGGCAGCGGTACTTCGTTGCCCTTCCCGAGGAGGAGCCTCTTCGCGGGCATCATGGCGGAGATGGCCGACGAGGAGCGGGCGGAGGCGGAGGCCGCCCAGGTGGCGCTCGCCAAGAGGGTCGAGGCCGCCAAGAAAGGCGAGGTCGCCAGGATCGGGCCGAACGAAGGGGGGGGTAGTGGGGAAAGGGGGGGGGGTGCGAAATCTGCTGCGTGCAGCTGGCTTCGGCCCCGCCGCCGGGCCCATTCCTCGATGCACGTGCGCCTCCCGGCTCCAGGAAGCGCCAGCGAAACCAGCTGCGCGAGCTGATGTTCTACCCTACCCTTTGCCATCCTACAGAGGAAACCCATGCCAAGAAACGCCTGCTGGCCTGCAGGGTGCCCTGGACTTCTTGGGCTTCGATGGTTCTGCTGTGGAAGGCGCGACGTTCCCACACCAAAAGTCCATGGACATCCCGGGGTCTCGGGCTGGGGTTCCTTGTGGAAGGTTTCTCGTGGGCTGGCCTCCGCTGTGCCCTTTCGCTCCCCCCCCCGACAGGAGGAGCGAGGCCGCCCGGAAGAGCTTCGCGGAGCTGCGCGGGGCGGCTTCGGGCGGCCGCGCCAGCAGGGCGGGCGCCCTGCGCAAGTGGTCCAACTGGGCGGTGCCGCTGCCTGGAGGCAGCGAGGGGGAGGTCCTGCGCGAGTGGTCGGAGTCCTGTGCGGAGGTCCTCAAAGGAGGAGAAGGTACCCACATACCGCTACCTTCCAGACCCCCTCGCGTTGTGAGCAACATCGCGACGGGAGTTTGTTCGCCATTTCCGGCCTCGATCACAAGGCCCCGGGACCCTCGAAAAACGATAAAGCCGGTCCCGAGCATGGCGTCCAGACCTCTTGGGGTCGACTTTGTCAAAAAATGTGACGTCGGGAGCCGCTATAACCTCCCCTCGTGTTCCCCCTTCTTGGGCCTTGCAAGGAGGCCCTCGTCGCCACCGCTGGATTCGCCTCGGGAGAGGTCCCGGGAATTGCGGTATCCGTACCGCGGGGCGCGTGGGGCGACAGCGAGTGCGGCGACGGCTCCTCCTCCTCCTCCTGAAACTGGCGTGCCGGCCCATCCGCTATCGTTTGGTTGGTTTCGCAGGTGTCCCTGGAGCACCGAGCTGCCCCAACAGCCAACTCTCTGTGGCAATCTAAGTGGTCGCCGGCCGAGGGGCGAGCGACTTGAAAACCTAACCTACAGAGGCTGCTACGGGGCTCCTCAACCGACCCGCCGGTGTCACCCTCGGGCGGCGGTCACCTACTAGCCTCGGACAGATCCCGCACAAGCTCCGCCGACATCCCATGAGGACCGAGGGTTCGGGGGCGAATCCCCCCCCTGCGATTTCACAATTTTCGGTTTGCTGTTCCTTCTTCGTTTTTGGGGGTTCGTCATTCGCTTTCTTCCTTTGGAGGGTGGGAAACGTTCTCGGGCTACTGGAAGTCCGAGCTATGTTTGCACCTCCCGTGGGGCGGACAAAACCGTGCCCCCCATGGGTACGCACCCTGGTGTTCGAAGTCGGTCTTGTGCATACTGCCGGCACCAATCGATTGACAAAACATGCGGCTCATATGTACACACGTTGCTGTCACACATCATGCTTGGGTCCATCATTCGCCGTTCCTCCATGATGGGACGGCTGACCCACATGAGTTGACCCCCTCGGTCACGGTGCTACGGTGGCTGCCGCAGGATACGCGTTGCACGCATCGCCCACCACTGCCAGGTGCCAACGTCGAGCACCTGTTTTGAGGGTGGGAGAGCCCAAGTGCCCATCCGATTCACAAGGGCTATGCCTACCCCTAAGGGCATCAGCACCACACTTCAATCCTGCTGAGCAGGCCGCGCCGGCAGCTCCCGGCGCGAGCCGCCCGTCACACCCGGCGGCCTCCTCGGCGTCCGCGCCCTCATCGACTTCGTCTCTGGCGGCCGTGAGCGGCCTGCCTGCGGCGCGACCCGCCTCGCCCGCCGCGTGGGCCGGACACGCGCCCCCCTCGGCTGCGTGCACTCCTTCGGAGGGGCGGCGGTGTCGGGTCTCGGTCTCTTTCGGCCTCCCCAGGTCCGGCCGGCGGGCACTTCTTCCACGGTGGTCTCCGACGAGGACGGGGCAGAGGGGCCTGCTGGGAGCGGCCGCCCCGCCGAGCCGGCCCAGGCGTCACGGGCGGCCTCACCGGCCCCTATGGCGAACGATGTCCCCTGCCGTGGCGTGCCCCGGGCCTCTCCTTGCAAGACGCGCAGGTGTGTGGCCGTAGAGGGCAGCTCGAAGGGCGAGGAAGGACGCCGCGGAAGGGGATGTGGCTTGCTAATTACAGGGGTCGGTGAGGCCGCGCCCGAAGGCCGCCCATTGCCCCGTCAGCACGCTCGCGGAGCGGTCCGGCCCAGAGGGCGCCGGGGGCCGCCCGGAGCGGGCGAGGGCGGTTGCCCTGGAGGACCCGACGGCACGCATGCGAGTGGCCCTTCGCTGGAGTGGCCTGTGATGCGGGCCCCGTGGGGCCCCCGCGATCGCTGGACGCGCAGCGGTCGCAGCGGCTGGCGCTCCCGGGTTTGGTACCCTCGCGGCCGTCAAAAGCAGCCGCGCACCAGAGGTCACTCTCACCTATATAGGGTCACTCTTGCGTGTATAGCCGAAGGACCGCGCCATGATGAAGCCGGCGCTGAGGCAGGGGACGGACTTGGGCGGGCGCGTTTCGGAGATCGAGGCCCCGCCAGAGGGTGCCGGCGGGACGCGCCGCCAGGTGCCCACGGAGGCTTGGACGGGGCCAGGACGAGGACAGATCCGTTCCAGAGCGTTCCGGAATGCTCTCAGAGTTAGGGAAACGAACAATGACATAAACATAAAAACTCGGAGGTCCGCGCGGATTTCTCGAATCGGCGCTGGGGCCCCCTGGCGGCGCCTCCGGAGCCGCCCCTGGCGCGCTCTGCGCGCCAGGGAGGGGGGTCCAGCGCAGATCCAAGAAATCCGAGCGGACCTCCGAGTTTTGATGTTTATGCCATTTTTCGTTCCCCCAAGAGTGTTCCGGAACGGTCTGAGGAGGCCGCGGCGCCCGAGCCATCCTTCAGATCCGCCCGATCTCAGAGGTTCTCCATTTACCCTCACCAGTTCTTGTCCTCGCCCTGGCTTCGTCTCGGAGGCGGCCCAAGGCGTGGCTCCCGCCAGGAGGCCGACCCTGAAGCAGAAGCCGGGCCAGAGGCAGACCTGGCCCGAGCTGCGGGAGGCGGCCCAGGAGGCCCCGGAGCTCTAGGCCTCCCAGACGGGGTCCGAGCAGATGGGGTCGGAGGATCGCGCCGAGTCGCCGATGCATCGGCGATGCATCAGCGATTCTGCTCGATTTGGGGCCAATTTTCTCCACGCCGACGTCGTCGATGCATCGCCGACGTCGCCAATGCATCGCCGATGCATCGCCGACGCATCGCCGATGCATCGCCGACGCATCGTCGATGCATCGCCGACGCATCGCCGAAGCGGCGCGATCCTCCGACCCCACTTACTCGGACCCCATCAAGGAGGCATCCAGGGGTGCAAAGGGTACGATGCCCAACAACATGTCCTGACCACTTTGAACAGAACTCGCCGTCCGCGTCACCACGGACATCGTCTATTTTTGAGACAGAAGGCCGCCGGCCCAACAGCGGCCGCTGTTGGTTTGGGACAACATCTGTCGTTGGGCATACTGCGCGCATTTTATCCGTACCCATGTCGGGCGTCCAAAACAGGAGGTTCCGCAGCGCAAGGGGCCCGCAGTCGTGGTGTCCGCGTCCTCGCCGTGCTCCACCAGCGACGTGGTCGGGCCTGCGCCCCAGGGGTGTGCGTGGGCCGGCAGCCCGGGAGCCAGCAGCCCGAAGAGGTCAGGGGCAACGATAGTCAGAGGGGGGAAGGAGGGTGCCCGTGCCACTACCCTCCCGGCGTTTTCCCCTGTTTCGGACTCCTGGGAGGCCCTCGTCGCCACCGCTTGGTTCCGCCTCGTGATCCTGGTCAGAACGTACCCCAGGAGAGGTCGGGGGAGTAGCGGTGTCGGTACTTATTGGTTTCCACAGATGGGGGGGATACCAATCGCCCATTGATCGCCGATAGGGGCCCGACAGCCCCAACCTGCCCAGGAGAGTGCGGATTCACTATCGGGGGCCTACCGCCGATCTATCGGCGATGTATCGCCGATTCCAGGGCGATGTTTCCCCCCCCATGCCTACCCCCCCCCTCTTTCGTTGTCCCTCAAGAGGGTGGGGTTCTCGCAGGCGAGGAAGAACTGCAGCATGAGTCACGAGCAGCTGTCCTCCAAGATGAGCACGGCTGAAGGGATCCTGAACATGATGGAGAAGACCGAGAAGGCTGGATAGTCAACTCACGGAAGCCTCTGCTCGTCGTGGCTCGAGCGCATCTCGGCGCATAGCGCCCGACAGCGCCCTATGGCGCCCAGCAGCGCCGAACAGTTGTTCAGTGGCGCCCGACCGTGACAAAGAGCGACCAACAGCGTCATGCGAGATAGATGCAGCATGCCCGCTCTGCGCGCGACTGGGCTCGCTGTTGGTCGCCATGAGGGCGACCAAACGCTTCCGTGAGTTGGTTTCCAAAGAAGGGCCGCAGGACTCAGAGCGTCCACGTCAGGGGGTCGCAGTTCGCCCGTCAAACCCTCGAGAAGAGGGTCAGGCTCTTGAAGCACGCGACTACACTCAAAAGTGGCAGGGTCAAGAAGGTTGGTGTCGTTGGTAAGGTCGTATCGTCCAATGCGTTCGATTATTTCATAATGCTCATTGTGTTCTTGAACTTGCTGCTCATAGGTGCACAGGTAAATCACGCCGCCGTCTCTGACAGGAACGAACAGGCATTCGACATAATGGAGTACGTCTGTACGTTTATTTTCGCTGTTGAGCTTTGCGCGCGTTTGTCGGTATACCGCGTGCAGTTCTTCACCCACTTCAGGGAGCGCTGGTGGAATATTTTCGATTTCTTGCTGGTGGGCATATCTCTGATCGACACCGCTATCAGCCTGGGTGTGGACACCAAGGGTGGAACGTGGGGGTTTATGGGCAATCTCGGAAGGGCCATCCGCCTGCTTCGCATCATGCGCATCTTTCGCGTGGTGCGGAGACTGGCCCAACTCCGAGTAATGCTGTACATGATCATCAGCTCCCTGCAGTCGTGCTTCTGGGTCCTGATCATTATGGTGGGAGTCATCTACATGGTCGCGATCGTTGTCACGCAGGGAGCCACAGAATTTCTGAGAGGTCCCAACGCTGCTGTCGCTACTGACGAGTACGAGCAAGTGCTCAGCATGTATGGCTCGCTCTTCAGCACGATGTATACACTATTCTTGTGCATGTCTGGAGGGATTAGTTGGGGTCTGGCGTCAAAGCCGATGCGTGGTCCAGGCTGGCTGCTAGAGGCCGTTGTGATTGGCTATGTGTTTTTCATGGTTTTCGCGGTTGCGAACATCCAGCGGCCTTCGGTTCATCCCGCCACCGTTCTTGGGCTGTGGGTCAGGACGCATTGGAAACGGTCACAGGTCACACCTCATCCCTAGGATGTGGCCTGTTGGGGGCCATTTGGGTGCCTCTAGGCTCTGAGAGACCTTTCGAGATGCCCTGGGACCTCCGGGGATTGGGGTCATGTCGGCGGGGAGGGCAGGGCGGATTTTTTTAGCTATGTCCGTGTGGTGCATCAACGAACGTCCTTCAGGCGTCAGGGCCTTTTAGGGCCGACTTGGGAGCCCTCTTGGGCGCCGCTTGGTTCGTATTGGACACCGTTGGAGCAGAAAGGGCGAGTGTCTGAACACCTCGGCCAGCAACCTGCCGTTTCCCTTGTACTGGATTCGGACTGGATGGCGCCCGGGGCCTCACGCCGCTTCAAGGGGCTCGGTGGGAGGACCGCCGTGGACGCCGGGTCGGGTCCCGTGGAGGACCGAGGGCCCCCAGGGGTCCAGGGAGCCCTCTCACCCCCCACCCCACCGTGTGCGAGCCACCGGATGTTTCCCGCCTGGAGGCCCTCGTGGGCCGGCCCCGTGCTGGTGACACGAGGGGTTTGCCCTGCTCCTGTCGGAGAGGACGCCCTCCCCGCCCCCTCATTCTTCCGGACCTTCCGCCCGAACCTCCCGCCCCTTTTTCGATATGATCTATGTGGGTTTCCTTGAATTGCGTAAGGTTTCCACTCGTTTCGACGAGTTCTTCCGCACCTTCTGCGGAGGTCGGCAGGTATGGAAGGTGGAGGTGGAGGGTCGCCCGGACCCCGCGACCTCGCATCGCACGGGGGGCGGCCGGGGATGCCTCGGCGGCCACCGCAGCGGAGGTGTAGGGGCCGGCCCGCCGCCTAGCGGCGAGCTGCTCCCAACGCCCTCGGGCCCCAGACTTCGAGCAGCAGAACGACAACGGAATTGATTAGCCCCAGAAGTGTGGCTTATCATACTTGTTAAATAAGCACGCACATTTTACGCCACGTAGATCTGCGACAATTCAGTTTGAAAAAAGCCAGATTCGAGGAACACATCGGTTCTAAGGTAAATCAGTTCTGTAATCGATCTCCTGTTCGAAGACTCCTTGACCACGCGAGCTCGTCTCGCCTGGGCAACACGTGGCGGCTCTGCCCCAGCGGCGGCGCCCGAAGGCACTGCCACCTCTCTGCCTCTTGACCATGCGAGCTCGTCTCGCGGGAGGGCGCGGGCCGGCCGTTCCCTGCTTGTTGCGGGCGCTGTCCGATACCATCGGGCGATCTCCCGCCATTTCAGGGTGGCCGGCGTTTCAAGGGAGGGAGGGGGAAGGGGAGGCGCGCTCGTTTCGGCAACACTATGGGCGCCCGACCCTCGCGTTCCCCGACGTCGCCTCTCCCAGCGCCGCGAGATTCGAGCATCTGTCCCCGGCGCGCGTGTACCTTCTTGCCGTGTGGGTACTAAGGACCGTCAGCGACCAAAGTGCACACCCAAACATGCCATTTTCAACATATCTCTCTCATGGTGGTGGATCGTGAACGGCGTGTTCGTCGACGGTGCCATCGAGCTCTCCAAGCGCGACCGCACGATGATGATGCAGAAGCAGAAGGAGGACAACGAGAACAAGGAGCGCCACGTCATTGACTTGCTAACACTGATGGACGCCGATGGGGATCAGCTGATTACTTTCGATGAGTTTGTTCAGAGCCTGGAGGAGCAAGAAGTGCGCGATTATATGGCCGCGCTGGAGGTTGACATCAGTGACGTGAAGATATTTTTCCAGATGATGGACAGAGATGGCAGCGGGTCCGTGGACATCATGGAGTTCACGAGCGGGATCCGAAAACTGCGAGGCGAGGCGAAGAGCGTCGACATACACATGATGATCCACGAGAACAAGAAGCTGTTCAAGCTGGTGAGCTGCCTCGTGGGCACGCTGTGGGCGGAGTGGGAGGACGAGGAGCCCCCCAGCGACTGAGGGGGCTGCGGCGGGCGAGCCGGCTCCTCCTTGTCCGCCGCCCTCTCCTGCCACCCCCAGATGAGCGACGCGGAAACAACACGGGGTCGTCTGCGCCGACAGTGGCGCGCAGGCTGCCCGCGCAAGGACGCGCGGAAACCCGCGTCTCCGCTGCAGCTTGCCGCGCTGGCGGCGGGATGCCATGGCGCGGGGTCGCTGCGTCGCATTGCGTAAGACCCGTTTCTTTTCGTCGCTCAATTCACCTTCGCCAGTAGAGAGGCACGGCGGGACTGGCGCTCTTGTCGCCCTGGAGGGGCGCTGGCGCCAGCGCGCGAGGACGGGTGCGGGCGGGGATAGATTTGGGGCTGTACTGGTCTACCGGAGGATCTGTTCTTTGTACCGGCGAGCACACCAAAGGTGAGCATTGCCGCTCTGTGGACGATCGTGCTAAGCGGTTGTCGTATGGCGCGATAATGTCCACGATGTCAAGCACGTGGACCTCCATCCCCATTCCCATTATTCCTCCCTCTCTTCATCTCGTTCTTTCTCTCTCTCTCTGTTCTCACTCTTTTCATCGTCCTGATACTAAATCGCCCTGTCTACTTGATTCTGCGTCGTTCCCATTCTCCCATATTCCGTCTATCTCATCATGTCCATCCTCTCGGGTCGGACGAAAGGAGGGGGAATTTGGACATCGGTGGGTATGACATCTGCGGCATGCATTTGCTTTCGGCCCCGCCGCCAGGCCCTTTCCCCGATGCACTGGCTGCTCCGACGCCAGGGAAATCAGCCACGTGAGCCGATTCGGTAGCCCCCCTTTGCCTTCCCCCCCCCTTTTCTTCCGACCCGATCCTCCCACTGACGCCATTCACCGCCTTCCCCACTCGCTGCGCCACCGCGTGTCTGCCTCACCTTCGGCGGCTTTCCCGAGGCCAGCGCCTCGTGCCACACACGCATCGCCCGGGGCTGGCCTGCTGCTGAGCATTTTCTTTTTTCACCAGCCGAGAGGAGCCCTGAGGCGAGAGAAGGAGACGACGACGAAGCGACGACACGACAGAGAGCGCGGGAAGGGGGGGGGGGGGGCGCGGGCGGCGGCAGGGGGGACGCGCGCCTCGCGCTCGCGCGCGCGCGCGCAGATCCTCAAGGGATGAGGAGGACGAGGGAGGAGGGGCAGGAGGAGGAGGAGGAGAGGAGGAGGAGTGGAGGTGGAGGTGGAGAAGGAGGAGGAGGTGGAGGAGGAGGAGGAGGAGGAGTGGAGGAGGAGGAGGAGGAGGAGGAGGAGGAGGAGGAGGAGGAGGAGGAGCAGGAGGAGGAGGAGGAGGAGGAGCCCGAGGCCATGGCAGGGCGGCCGCGCGCAGCACCCCACCAAGGCCGCAGCCGAGGCAAGCCGCCTAGCCGCCTCCCCATCGCCCAAGCGGGGCCGATTTTGCCGCGGCCGCCCTGGCCACGCAAAGCTGGAAGGCGGCGTCGCCGAGCGCGTCCAGCTCGGCCTCGAGCGCGCGGCGGACGGCGCCGAGCTGGCCCCGCGTCGGAATGCCCAGGGGACGGGCGAGGGCGCGCGCCGCGTCCCATCCGCCGAGGGGGAGGAGCTCCCAGGTGGGGTCTCGCTGCGCCTGCATGTCCTGGGGCGCCTTCTCGGGGGCGAGTGCCGCGCCTGCGCCTGCGGCCGCCGCCGCCCGAGCCAGCGCTTCCGGCCCTGGCGCGTGGGGCCTCGGCCGCCGGCACCCAGCCAGCCGCGCCGGCGCCCTCAGCGGGCGCGTCGTGGAGGGCCATCCCCGTGGCGCCCGCCAAGAGGTCGGCGCCGCGGGTCGCCCCCCCCTCGGGGACGCGCGCCGCTGGCGCCCGCGCCGTGCCGCTGGCGCCCGTGCCGCGCCACGGGCGCCCTCTCCCGCGTTGCCGTCGCCCAGCGGGAGCGCTGGCTTCAAGCCAGCGCCCGTCGCGCCTGGCTTTTCAGGAGCCAATCCGAGTCGAGTAGCCAATCCCAGGAGCCAATCCGAGCGCCGCCTTTGCACCATGAGGCATTCCAGGAAGGGCCTCGCCTTCGAGGGTCGAAGGAGTTGGCATCTCTTCGTCTGCGGAAGGCGGTGGAAGGTCGGCAGAACCCACAGAAGTACATCAGAGTGAGTGGGCCGAACGGTCATTCATTATCCCTAGGTGCTTGGCTGAAGTTGGATTTCGCGATGCGGATTATTGTTGTTGTTTGTTTGTTTGTTCGTTCGTTTGTTTGTTTGTTTTGTTGTTGAATGTTCATTTCTAGAGAATGCGCATTTCTTGTTGATCTCCAGAAACGAAGCCGCGCGCTCTCGCCTCGACGCCGGCTACTTTTTCTGTGAAAGCGAGGCTCCCGCTCGAGCGTTGGTTTGAGCCTGAATGTGGGCCTTTGGAGGCCCAGCTACGACAACAACGGCTCCCGCTCGATACTTCCACACAAATTTACCCCGAGACACCATTGCCAGAGAGGCCCCCGAACTCAGGAACGGCGCTCTCGCTCGAGACCTCCTCGCAATTCAATGAAGTCGGCGGAGGCCCAGCCAGGACGACAAGGGCTCCTGCTCAATATTTCCTCACGATTTACTCCGAGAGTCCCTGGCCAAGAAGGCCCCTGAAATCAGGAACAGCGCACTCGCCCGAAACTTTCCCGTAATTCAGGCAAGTTGGTGGAGGCACGGACACGGCGACAAGGGCTCCCGTTTTATTTTCCTTCATAAGTATTTCGAGAGCCCCTGGCCAGAGAGGCCCCCGAACTCAGGAACGGCGCTCTCGCACGAGATTTTTTCGCACTTCAGTCAGTCGCCGACAAGGAAGATATTCCCCCCGAAAGGCGGTGCACTTAGTGGGCCCTGGAAACGACAGGGCCGTTTTTTTACCGGTTCCGTTTAGCCGTTTTTTTGCCGGTTCCGACGCCGTTTGTTTACAGGTTCCGTCGCAGTTTTTTGACCGGTTCCGTCTCCGGGTCCAATCCTGGAGCCGTTTTTGTTGCCGTTTCCGGTCGCCGTTTTTTTGCCGTTTCCATTTTCAAGGGACGTTTTTTGGGAAACGGTGGAAAAACGGCCCTGCCGTTTCCGGGGCCCTCACAGGCGGTGCAAGCGAAGACGAAGTGGGCGGGTATCGAGAGTTGGGGTATACGGAATGCAAGTCACGCGTGCCAGTAAGAGCGAATAGTCTTAAATTTATTATTGCTGTTATTTTTGTTATGTATGTTGTCGCTGTTGTTGTTGATGATGTTGCTTTTGTTGTTGTTGTTGGTGGTGGTGGTGGTGGCGTTGTTGTTGTTGCTGTTGTTGTTGTTGTTGCTGTTGTTGTTGTTGTTGTTGTTGTTGTTTATGTTGTTGTTGTTGATGATGTTTTTGTTGGCCCGCGACCCGCCCGCGACCCACCCCGCGACCGGCCTGCGACCCACCCGCGAACCACCCTCGACCCAGCCCGCGACCCACCCGTGACCCACCCGCGACCCGCCCCGCAACTCGCCCCGCGACCCGCCCGCGACCCGCCCCGCGATCCACCCTCGACCCACCCTCGACCCACCCGCGACCCAGCCCGCGACCCACCCGTGACCCGGCCTCGACCCATTCGCGACCCACCCCGCGACCCACCCACATTGCTTGAACGAAAAATCAGCGCCTGGGCGGGCTCGTTGTATAATTTGTAAAAAGTGAGACGTCTGTGGCGGGCTTTTTTTTCAGAGCCTCGCAGACTGCCAACGTCCCCGCCGCCCCCCCCTCTTTCTTATCCGCGACTGCGGGGGGCTACGTAAATCCAGGGCGGTTCCGCCCGCGGAAGCCAGCGAAGGGCTGGCGGAAGTACAAGTTGCTTTGCCAAGGGATAACAACATTTGTTGATTGAGGGTTTCCGGAATGTGCCTTCGTGATTCTTCAACGACGTGAGCATGTCTGAGTACCCCCGCTGCTGCGCACACCACCACGTCGAGGAGCCAATTCGAGCGCAGCCTTTTGCACGATGTGAGTCATTCCAGAAGGGACCTCGCTTTCGAGGATCGAAGGAGTTGGCCTCTCTTCCTCGGCGGAAGGTGGCGGAAGGGCGGCGGAAGCTCGCGGAAGTGTGTCAAGCGAGGGCATATTCGCTTGCGGAGGCCGGCAGAAGTACAGGCTGCCTTGCCAAACGATGGCAACATGTTTCGGTTCAGGGTTTCCGGAATGGGCCTTGGCGAATCTTCAACAACGCGAGCATGTTTGGGTTTTTTTCCGCTGCTGCGCACACCATCATGTCGAGGAGCCACTCCGAGCGCAGCCTGTGCACCGTGTGAGGCGTGCCAGAGAGGGCCTCTCGCCTTCGAGAGGGTCGAAGGAGCTGCCACCTCTTCGTCGGCGGAATGGCGGCGGAGTGGCGGCGGAAGTTTGCAGACGAGGGTGGCTCCGCCCGGGGAAACTGGCGGAAGTACAGGTGGGGACGGCCTCTCCGTCCGAGCCCGCATGCGCACCCGTCGGTGGGCCCATCGTTCGGATCATAGGTTTCCGAATGCGCCGTTTTCGGTTGATTTTTCCTTAGGCCCCTCACGAAGTGTCCTTCCTTGGAGGTTCCTGGGCGCAGTGGTTGAGAAAAAAAGGAAGTACAGGTGGCACTGCCAAGAAGTGACGAGATTTTATGCCCAGGG